TCTCCATTGAGACTACAGAGATCACATTCAAAAAGGAAATTGAATAGGGTCCAACTTTCTCCCAATTTCCTGCATGATAAAATCATGATCTGCACACTGATAAAACAAGGAACTAGATGTTAGTGACTCAAAGATTGGAGGCACAAGTATCCCAAACACAAAGTTTATCTCCATAGTGGAAGGGAAAACCAGACACCTCAGGGATTCTACGAAGAACAGATACATCATGCAGAGCACAGTCTGCTATCTCCGGGACACAGTGAAAAATGTCAGAGGCACAGCAGGAAGGATTCAACATACATCTGTGGAAACTCTGAGACAGGAACTTAGTCAGCCAATGAGCCCTGTGCCACCATGTTGATTAAAAAAGACCTGTCTTACAAGAGAAGTGTTCCATTGACAAAGCTACTAACATCCACAGAATGAGATACAACATGGCCAGAGTGCCAGAGTGTGCGCTAAAGTGTTTGTAAGTCTGGAAAGAAGAAGAAAGTAACTGGCCAATATACCAACGCAATCCTTACATTACAACTAAACCATGTTCAGATCATTAACACTTTCCTAACGAAAATTCCTCACAGCAAGAAATATCAAGAAAAGGCACAAAGGAAGACTACTGCTGGCAGGTCAAGGAAGGTGACATTTGCCTCCACTTAGCACTGGTAAGGCCATACAAGGAGCCCTGCCAAGGAAGGTGACATTTGTCTCCACTTAGCACTGGTAAGGCCATACAAGGAGCCCTGGATCCATATCACTCAACTTATCTGTAAAACATCTGCTCACTGGAAATCATAAAGAGGAATGCTGGAGTGTACCTCAAGCTACAACATGGCATCTGCCACGACTAACCTAGATTGAGTTAAAAAAAGATCAAAAGTATATTCCTTGTGCAAGTGCCTCAAGAGTATACTGTCACCTCCACCAGCAGCTGTAAACTAAGGATATCTGCTATTGAAAAGACTGCTAGAAGCTAAGCTTTTGGATCTATGAGGGCAAATGTTGCTGTACAGCTTAGAATGATCAAAAAAGATCATATCTCAAGAGTAAAGCGTTTTCTGAGTGGGAAAATCTTGCTGAAGCTGAAGTTGCTGTAATAAACTCTAAGATATGTTTGGCAATCATTCACCTTTAAGTCCAAATTAACAAAGAGCTGAAGATAGTATGAAGAAATGGACTCACAGAATTGTAAGGGTTGGAAGGGACCTCTAGAGATCATCAAGCAGGTTCCCTACAGCAGGTCACACAGGTAGGTCTTGAATTCATCTCCAGAGAAGGAAACTCCACCACCTCTCTGGGCAGCCTGCTCTAGTGCTCCATCAGTCCTGGCAGTGAAGAAGTTCTTCCTTGCATTAGCATGGAACTTCCTGTGTTCCAATTTCTGCCCAGTGCCCCTTGATCTATTGTTTCTCATCACCAAAAAGAGCCCACCCCATCAACTTGACTCCTACACTTTGGATGTTTATGAACAGTGATGAGATCTCCTCTCGAGTCTTCTCCAGAATGAAGAGTCCCAAATCTCTCAGCCTTTCCTCTAGGAGAAGTACTTAGGCTCTGAATCCTCTTTGTCACCCTTTGCTGGACTCTAAGAGATCCCTGTCTTTTTTTGCCCTGAACTGGACACAGTACTCTGGATGCAGCCTCATCAGGGCAGAGTAGAAGGGAGGATCTTCCTCCACCTGCTGACCATACTATTTTAATGAATCCCAAGATACCAATGGCCTTCATGGCCACAAGGGCACGCTGCTAGTTCATGGCCAACATGCTGGCCACAGATCCTTTGCTGCAGAGCTCCTTTCCAGCAGCTCAGGCCTTAATATGTACTGATGCATATAGTTATTTCTCCCCAGGTGCAAGGCTCTATACTTGCCCTTGTTAAACCTCATCAGGTTCATCTCTGCCCACCTCTCTACTCTGTCCAGGTCTTCATGAATGGTAGTACAGCACATTGTGTCAGCTGCTCCTCCAAATTTTGCATCATCCAAAATTATGACTCCTACTCTAAAAACTTCTTACTAGCTGTAAATTTAGAGAAAAAAAAAAAAAGACATTATATCATTTGAGCTGGACTGAATTGCTCTTAAAAGTTTTAGCAGATTCTAAGAAGTAGAAAGTCAAAGCAGAAGAGTAAGTGACAGTACTGGAGCAGGCTTCCCAAAGAGGTTGCAGAGTCTTCTCTGGAGATATTCAAAACCCTCCTGGACATTTTTCTGTGCATCCTACTGTTGGCTTTCTTTAGGACTAGACAACTTCCAGAGGTCTTTTCCAACCTCTACAATTCTGTGTTCCTTAATTCCTGAGAAGAAAAGTAGCATCCTTGAGACAGAGTAGCAACCTGGACAAAATAGCTCCTGGAATTTTCTTAAAAACATACATTTAAACTTTGCTGATGTCATGTTCAGTGATGATCAGCCTACCTGTAAAATAAAGGTTTGAATGAAGGAAGTGGCAGCAACAGAGATCTGATATCCCTTCAGGGACGTGGAAGGTCAGGTCCTCTATGACCCTCTAGGACATATATTTGAAGTCATGGCTGTCAATTTTAATAAAGAAGCTGGCAAAAGCCTGTGAGGACTTCACATCTGTTTTGTGGTATTTGAAATCTCTAAATTGTGTTTGGATCAAGTTCCCTGGTATAAAATGTGTTGAAGAATGTTTTTTTTCTAACAGATATTTACGGAAATACTACTAATCCCTTGTTATTAAGACACGCAGCTTCTGAAAAAAAGTTGCTATTTCATCAGTCCTAGAAGAGTAGAGAAAGCATCAAACGTCTTTCTTCTGCCTCCTTGGGCTGATTAGCTGTCTGTTATGATCACGAAGGACCACAGAGCACTCCCCCTTCAGTGTTCACAATTCAATAATGTAAAAAGCAGACAATAAGTTTGTTCACAGGTGTATTACTATGGTAAAATATTATCTGGTCCCAAATGAGAGGGCATATGCTTACTCACTCTAAACACACCTTTGGTAGGACATACTCACTTTGCTCTTTTCTGTCCAATTTGCACAATCTGACATTCAGATACGTGCTGCAGGTTTGAACAAGTCATCATTTCCAGTGTTAGGAACACAAGATTTTTAAGGACTAATTGTTATTTTAGAGAGTCTCAAAGGGGGAAGATGAAACTATTTTAAACTGAGTTAATGCTTGAAATGGTTAGTCCCATCAGTTGAATTCTCCATAAAAACATCCCAGGTTTGCCAGCTAGAGGAACTGAAAACAATATCTTTGGATTTAAAACCTTGCAATTCAATTGTTCATGTTAAAGGAAATGGTTGCAACAAACTGATGGCAATAGCAAACTACAGTGTTTGTGCGATCCTAACTAGCAGTAAGAAGAATGTTCTTCTACAGGCAGGTTATGTTTTGTTGTTTAAGAAGCTTATAAACATACTTTATAAAACAACTTAAATCACTTTTTATTACAGCAATGTAGTCTTCTATATGAGAACACAAGTTCAAAGTCTTTACGTCTAAAGGCCTGGGCCCCTACTTAGCCACAGAGACCAGATAACTTTACTTGAAAGCAGCAAGGAACAAATCTCACAAAATAGGCTAGCCACATGAAAAGATGAAACTTTCTTAATATGGATTACAGTGGCTTCAGGAAGTAAAACAAGTACCAAAAAAAAAAAAGCAGGAAAAACAGAACCTTCATCACTACTAAATGAACCACTGAAAGAACACTCTGAAGAGTTAAGTAGAGCAAATAAGAAAACATGAAAAAAACAATGTAAGAGTCAATGGAATAAAACAACCTCACTGACATTTAACATTTACATAAAGGTCATATTCCCTACGTTTTGGTTAAGTATTCAACTGGGATCTCAATCAATCTTTGGAGCGTGCATGACCAATTTTGAAAACAAAGCAAAAGCACAGTACAAAAATTACAAGTCTGTAAGTGTTCCTAAAAAGAAAAAAAGCCAAAACTGTTCAGAGAGGGAATAAGACTGATCTAGAATTATTAATGACTGGTTTATGGCTAAACTGCATAGCTGAACTTTCATTCCCACGTGGAGTTTGCTGTAATGGAACTGAACATGACCTAAACCATCATGATTTATAGGTACGTACTAGAAGAAAAGGCACTGGCCAGGCACACCAAATTAATTAATATTCTGAACTATTAAAATGACAATAATTTCACAGAATTGCTACAGGGTGTAGGGAAAAAATACACAAAAGAGGAAAAAAAAAAAAAAAAAGCACATTCACAGCATAATATATAGAAGAAGAGCACTTTCAGTTAGAACACAGAAAAAAAAATATTCATAAATTAAAAAAAAAACCAACCAACAAAGCAGTTGTTTGGGAAATACTGTGCGTGATTTGCAAATATCATTCATTATCATTCATTGCGTTGGGGTTTAACATCCTTTGGAAAATCTCTCCAATTTCTGACAGTCTACATTTTCTTATTCAGACCTGCCTGATTTCAAGATCTACATGTTCTTATCCAGAAAGATATGTAGGTTGGTCTGAAATCTGATTATCCTTTTCCAGTAGCTCCTGAGAAAATTTAAGATTGGCAAAGCAGCATTCCCAATTAAAGTTATATCTACTGAATTCTTAACTTGTCTCAGAAAGTTAAAGAGAAACAATTCCATGTGGTTCTATTGCTACAAATCCCCATTAAATTATTCACATACTGATATCAGGATCACCCACCACCCAATGCTTCAAATCAGCATGGCTTTAAAGTGGCTGGTGTGAAAGGACTGATTTTCCTTAAGACATGTCCTTCTACAATTACTGCAGTCAACGTTGATAGTGAAGTGGAACCAAAAGCAGCATCTGGAACACTGCAAGGCAACAATATTTGCTTTGAATTTTTTCTATTTTTTAATTCAAAATTTTAAGCAGATATTCATCATTTACAATCTTCCCATGACATGATGAGACCGACTTACAAACACAGAAAAAGTAAATTCTTGACAGGCTTAGGAATCAGGATGTATCAAAGATAAGGATCTGACTTGGAGCTCTACAATCTTACCTTCTTCTGAAGAACGTTAACTTTGCGTTCCTTCACCTCTAACATATCCTTGAGATCATGGATCTCTCCTGCTTGAGTGCCTTTCTCCTCTGCAATCTCCTGAATCTGCTTTGTCTTCTTATTTAGCATGGTCTCTTTCTCCTCCAGACGTAAGCGTAATGCATCCACCTAGATTCAGACATGCAGAAACAGGGTTTGTTTAGCACTGAAGGAGAAAACTCTTACAAAGATAAACTGCACTCCCACAAGGAACCATGTGCTGACAAATGACAAAGAGATTCTGAAAACTAACATCAATTTGAGACTTCAGCATATTTCAGTTTGCAATCAGTTACATGTAGTAGGAGACCAGAAGATGAAAATAATCAGTTGGGTTTTTTTTCCCCCCGAATTATATCCAGAACTATACTTCTAACATAGTTCAGTCTTAATGCAGTACAATTTTGGTACTTTTCCCTTCAGAGTAGAAGCTAGCACCATACCAGCAGAGGTTCTCATATATGTAGGAAAATTGACTCTTTTATTTGAAACACTACTAATGTTAAGAGATTTAAATTCGGAATATTAGTACTAAATAGTCACTTTATAGTCTAGATTTATTGAGAGTCTTAGCTCAGCCTGGACACAATGAAAGTGGCCACTTCAGATCAAAATATGGGACGCAGATTGCTTTACAAAGGCTAAGAATATTTTCACTTAAATAGCAACAAATTAGTTTAAACGTAAGGTGCTTTTTTTCTGTAGGATGCAGCTTTGTGTTAAAGATAAGATGGAACAAATGACATACAACAGGATATTGTGGGTGCTATTTGGACAAAGAAACGGAGCTCCTATAGTCTCAACAACCTTTGAAAGACTGCTAATTCTGTGGTATCCTCAAACTTCAAAACTGTACATTGGGAAACTTTTCCTTCTACACTTGTCTTGCACAAATGAAACACACAGACTGCAACACAAAAGGAATGGGAGAAGAACTCAGAGCTATCTGAATACAAATTTGATGAGAAGAAAAAGGTCACCACAGAGCACAGACTAATCTCAAAGACCATTGTGGAACATGAAATCCAACACCAGCAACCTGCTCAAGAGACCAAAAGAAACCCACTGACCCCTATCCACTCGACATTCACACAGAGCTCAAACCTGCCAGCCTGGCTGCTAATCTTATTTGACAGTACCAGATTTGGTTCCTGTTAGCTGAAGCCATTACAGGACATCAGTCACACAAAGTAAACAGGGTAATCACTGAATTTCTTGGTCCTTGTACATAGCAGAGACATGAACTGAAAAGACAACGTGGACAACTCTGGCTAGAGAAACAGTTTAGGTAGACACTTTGCTTGTGGTGCTTCGAGCAACATTTAGTTTTAATGTGCTTTTTTGATTCCACTTTATTTCAATTTACTAATGGAAAACCTGCCTCTAAGGCTCTCCATTTACAGCATGTTATACCCACAAAAGCCACTGTTGTTTTGTCTGATTCCTTTTACACAGAGCAACGAGTTCCTGCCGTGGGGCAAAAAGCCTGCCCTGATCTTCTGAGCAGCACCACAGTCCTGCTGCCACCTCGATGTCTGAAGCTTTCCCACTTACACATGCATTATTAAAAGCACATTCCTAACCTCTCACCTAGCAAATAGTATGTGGAGTACATTTTGTAGTGATACCAGAGAAACAAGCACTACCCAAATATGATATATAGAATTGACAGTGTTTGTAACAAGAAGTTTAGCAGGTCGAGCTAGCTTTCTTTTCTTTAAACTAACACAGAGGCTGATTAGGGATGTCCTCTGCATGTACTTAATATTCAAGCTAATAACCATTTTCATTCATACTTAAAGGGAAACTGAAAGTCTCTCTCAAAGGCAAATCCACAGCCTCCACATTTGTGTTACAAAATATTCAAGATATTCCAGATGCCTACAGTATTAAAGGAACACAGAACATCCGCAAACAGAAATTTATCCACAAAAGCTTTCCATTTTCTGATTGATTATTCTCTTTGAACTCTGTATTAGCTTACGGTTTGGAGCAAATTGCATTCCTGGTTTTATTTGTGTGAGGTCCCTGCCTAGGAAACCACAGAAAACACTTTCAGGAATATTTTCAAAGGCTGGCAGGACACACAGTCATTACCTTAACACTATTCCTGGCAGAACACTGCACTTGTTTATTCATGTCAACTTGGTTTATGTATGGCATCCTCCCACAGTGACAAGAATTGAGGGCTGCTGGAGTCAGGTGATGCCAATTTCAACAAAGTCAGCTTAAGATTTGTTCTGCACCTGGAAACAACCGAGCAAACAGCTGTTGAGGTGCTGACACCCCTTCTCCTGACTTCTCTGTCCTGGATGGCATTGTCTTAACCTAGGATTAACCTAACTGCTTTCACAGTAATAGTGTGCCATGACTTCATGCACGGCAACTAAGTCTCGCAGCACAGCTCAGGCAACTGCTAGTCCTTTGCTTACCAACACAGTTGCTAACTCTGCCTGCACATACCGCCCAATTTCCCATGAAGCTTTAATAAAATAAGCACATCAGTTGCCATCTTCAACACAACAACCTGCCTAGCTACAACAGGTAGCTCTTCTCATCCAGGTACCATACATAAGAATTTTCAATTTCTTCACTGTAACAAACGTATGAAAAACTGTGTTATGAATGACTGATATGCCTTCACAGAATTTACCAGTAGCAGTAAATTATACTCCATAACTGTTCCTAAACTACATAGCCATACACACAGCATAGGGAATTCTGAATTTCCAAGAAGAAAAGAACATTAGTAACTCCAATTATTACAATTAGCATAAGAAATAATATAATATTTAAACTACATTTATTCTTAAGTCCTTTAAAAAAATATCTATCTTGGAATCTGTTATTAGATTTAAAAAGTCCACAGTGAGTTTCAGAATTCACTGAAGAGCTTGAGACCACAGGGCTTAGGTTCCACATGTGTTTTTTCTCATTTTAACCACCATCTCTAGTGTACTGTAGAAATCAGGCTATTATTACTATGCTAATAATTTGCAGTAGGGTTTATGAAATTGTCAGTAACGTCTAGAAAAAACAATATTAAAACAATATCTTTATTCCAAGACTGATTGATTCTTCTGTCTAATTTCTTGAGTCACCCGCACAAACCATGGCATAACCACTTGTTTAGATCCATGAATAATGCCATGCTCCATTCAGTCAGATCAGAAGGAACAATTTTCCATACCTTTTATCCAGAGCCTGGTTTCTTTCTAGTGGCAAAATGCAAAGCATTTATTCTCTGTTGCTATCTCTACACTATTGCCAGCAAAAAGAACAGACAGAATACCTACTGAGAAACGTGTTAAGAGCTTGCTATGACTTCTAACAAGTGCCAGCTATTTTTAAGACAGATGTTGAAGTGAATACAGAAATAATTAAGAAACGCACAGGAGATGATGGAACACTGTGCTTAGTGTGTGGGGTGAAATGCTACATTTACGTCACTGTAAATATTCCTATGTGAAGTTTCACGCACCTGAAACCACGTGTTAAAAAGAATAATTTCTGTGACGTCCTATGACTATGACAAATTAGAAACACAAATTGAGTTGTTTCGCTGATAGCGTGGTCAATAGAGAAATGTTTACTGACTGATTTTGAATACAGCAGCTGTTCCCAGGACTTCATTCTCTACTTTTGACATTGATCTTTCTTATGAATGATGTTAGAGTTGACTTTTCACCTTGCTATCCAATGACCACAGTACTCAGTCAGGCCTGTAGAAGAGCTGAGGGCAAATCCTTTATGAATGTACAGCTCCTAGTTCTCTGGACAGTTTCAATTACACAAATACCTTGCAGAGCTGAGGCTTTGTGCAGAGGCTGTTTGCTTCTTGCTAGGCCTGTAAGCTCAATAGAGGACACTACCTTCAGGGCTTGATTATGTCAGAAAACAGTTCATCTGTTCTTCCACAATCTCTAGCACGTGGTATTAAATACTTTAACATGGCAAACTCAGTTTTCTGAACTGAGAATATGTGCAGGTGTCAACAGAGATCTTGTTAGAGACATCCAATTCTCATTAATATACTCCTCCTTCGTTTGGGAGTCTATTCAAATTCCTAAATGCAAGTAAAAGCCCCAGGAAAGAAAGGCCTATAAAGTATTCTATATTCTAATAAGACATTGGAAGTAAACAATATTGTTGCTGATGACTTAATGTTTGTTTTTTGTTTTTTTTTTAAAGATATAAATCTGAATTTACCACATGGAATAGACCAATTACAGTATCATGTCGAGCAGTACATGAAACAGAAAATTCTCACTGATTAGTCTAAGCACTCATTGAATCCATGTACCAGATAGCACTGAAATAAGCTGAAGAGTTCACTGAGGTATAATACAAACTTTATACGGAAAAATGCCAAAATAAATATTTTTGGATTGTTTCATTTACAAAAGGATTATACACATTTAGAACTATTTTTATAGTTTCCCTCACAAATTGAAAAGTTAACCACAATATCCTCTCCACCCAACAGCCCTAAAGATAAACATGCCACAAATTAGACACCGTTCTTTGTAGTTCTGGTAATGGCAGGTATCAGATCCATCTTTGATACACTGCACCAAGGTAGGTATTGCCATGCCTCCCTGCAGCTTTATTAAAGAAAAAACTGAAAGGCTCATGAAGCCGTGCACTTTTCTGTCAAAATGTTTATTTTAAAATGACTGTAAAATATCATTCCCTTATGAAGATTTCTGCCAATATATGGCAGAAAATGCACCTCTTTTCTTCCTCACGCATTCTCCAGGCATCTAGAGATAAGCTATGGAGATATCTTAACACCAGCCAGTGTTGTCAAGAATACAGTGAGACCAAGCAAGATCTTATGCTCCTATCCTATTTCCAGCAAAAAATATTCTATAGAAATATGAACACTGCTTTAAGAAAGGGCTGTTGCACAGGATGCAACAAGCATCTTAATGATGCAGTTTATGAATATCTTTCCAACTTATGCTTGAGAGGGTCTCTTGTGAAGACAGAAGAAAGGTAAGATGATTTAATTGTTGAGTTTTCTGTCAAGAATATCAGCAAATATGACAAAGATGTGATTACCTTTCAAAAACTGTAAATATCTTGTTGGAATTACATAAAAATTCTCAGAAACATAAATAGGTAATTCTAAATATTCAACTTAACGCTGATACAATGGAATACTCTGATGAATCAAAGGCACTTTGTATGTGTTTAATCCATACCAGATTGCTACGTTTTACTATGGAAAATGCACTAGACTGTATTTGAACTACTTTTCCAGAGAAAGTATACCATTCACAGCTCTATAATCCATTTAAATCTATCAGAGAAGCATCATGCTGAAACAGTTCTGTTAATGTTTTAACTCCATAGCAACTACTTACTGAAAGACAAAGACAGGAAGACAGACAGAAAATTGTCTTTCTCTGTTACTGTAGATGTTGTGTTTCAGTTATAATATCTGGAAGGAAACAATATAAATAACCTAACAGCAAAATGTAGAAAACCTCGCTGTCTCTCCTTTCAGGCACATTTTATTATTAAGAGAGCCATATCATGTTTCAGAAATACAGTGAGATGGTTTGCTTTTGTAAATGACAATCTCACTTGGAAGAAATTAGCAAATATTTTCAACGATTAGTTAATATTACAAGTCATAGAATAGTATAAAATGATTTCTACATTAAAAAGAAACACCTACGGTGGCCTTCAGCTAAAGTAAAATCAAAATGTCTTGAATAACTATCAAGAGTAGCTCCCAAGGTTATATAACAATGTCTTTTAGTTTTTAAATATTTTGTTTAAATTACACAATGTGTTTCCAGTAAGTTTGTTTGTAAGCTTCTCACAATACTCAGTGGTTTAATATTTTTATATTACTTTCAATCAATATAATGAATGAAAAGCTGCATTTTTTATTTTTAATTACTTTTAACCTAATATCTACTTCCACATTCAGTCATCCCAAATTATTTGCCTATCTCAAATGGTCTGTTAATATAACCAAGCTTAAACATAGTTTTCATTTTCAACTCGTACTTAAACTGTAATATTGCTGCCTTTGCTTCTGATCTGGAGATGACCCTGTGGATTCTCTCTGCCTTGTTTCCCTACCTCAGTTACGTTTAATAGCTAAATATAGTTTCTCTCTGTAAGACCTGCTTCACTTAGTCTTTCACTGTTATGCCTACAGCCCTATTGCATTGAAGGAAATATCATTTCAGTCTTTACATAAATCAGAATAATCAGATCATAAACCAGAGAATAATCAGAAAAGCATTTTTACATCAAAGGGTATTTTCTGTATAATTTGATTTCTGCAGGTGGCTAAGGCCACGTACACCCTCAGAGTCACTGAACATGGCTGAAGGAAGGCTAAACAAAGGTAAAAGGTGCAAATAAATTCTCTCACACTCTTGTAACATACAATCTTTCTACCAGTGTTAGCCACAAACTTTCTGTATGCTTATTCTATAGCTTAGCTTTTTGCTGGTTTAGCTGTACAATTCAGATATTTTTTGATGCATGACTGCCATCTTTTGGGCTTCACCTAACACTACAGTTTTCCATGGCAGAAGACAGAAATGCTGTCTTCACACAACATGCCAAACTTCTTCAAGAACGTCCAGTAGCAATAAATGCATATGCTATACTTATCGTCCATTTGATATTCAAAAATATTGCTGTGCTGGTTTTTTGGGGGTTTTCTTTTTCCTCTCTCAATTCTAGCTACAAAGTCATTGAAAATAAATTCCCCTAGCTCAGGCACTGCAACTTCCAATATCAGATGTGCCTAGGAACAATAATATTACTGGATTATATTGTACAAATGTGCATTTATCCATAGGAACACATCTGCACTTTCACACATTTCTTTACCCTCAATTCTTGGCCAAGAGAAACCAAGCACATAAGCAAAGAAACAATGTGCTCAGAACAAGGAATAGCAAATCATTATGGGATTGTATAATTGAAACAGGAAGAAAAAGAATATACTTTTTATCTCTTGCTCTATGGGAAGTCAGTTAAGTGCACAATTGCCCATTTTACCTCCGTCTGCAGAATGGCAGCTCTTTGCTCTTTAGCTGTAAGAGACTCTTTCAGAACTTCAATATGCTGCTTGCTGTCAGAGAACTGATTTGTGAGGGTCTCCAGCTTTGTTTGCAAGGCTAGCAACTCTGTGTCTTTGCGTGACAGCTCCTGTTTCACCTGGCCAATCTGAAAAGAAAGAAAAGATACAGAAAGAAAAAAATAATCGTCATTTTTTGTCTTTGCTACAGAAGTAAAGATAAATTCACATAAGTACCAACAAACAGTATGATATCCTTAACTTGTCTCAGAATTTTGAAGTCTTCAGTTACCTTGAATGGAAGGCCAGCAAAAATTTTTGTCATAAACAGAAGGTACAGGGAAAAACGGGGGAATGAGAACGTTTACAGTTAAAAATGGCTTTTAACAAAGTCAATCCTAGTCACTTTTCAGAGTACTGACCAAAATCAGTTAGTTAGCAGGGAAAAGTTTTTAACATCGTGAAGGAAAATCATAACAGGAATGTACTCCTACCCTGTAGTATCAAGAAAAGTATCTTTTCTTGATAGAGATATCTAGAGGTTTCTCTTGTATATTACATAACAAAGATGGACATCTCTCCAAAAACTAGAATTTTTCCATTTTATAACTTCAACATCTTTGTGACACTAAAAAAAACACACCACGCTAATCCCAAAAGTGCTAATGTTCAATGTTTAAAATGTCATGAACAAAAAAAACCTGTTCATGTCATCTTCAATTTTGGGGAATGTGTCAAGAACAAAATTAAACTGACATAAACTATAAATAAGATGTAAATTAAATCAAAATAATTAGAAATCTTGGGTAAATGCGCTTTTATCTTGCCAACACTGTATCAGTAATCAGGGCTACATTCTTTACCAAAGAGTAATAAAAGAGCATGAAAAGATTTCATTAAGAACTATAGTGTGTTCCATCGTGCAATGGGATATGGAAGCAGGAAAGAGATAGAAGGAAGGAGAATTAGTTTAGAGAACTGTTAGGTAGCTTATCTTTCACTTAATTCAGACATAATAGGATGTTTTTTTCATACTTTTTACTAAAAGCAAATATGCCCACAGAATGAATTCACCATTTATTTAAACAAGATACAAAAGTACTGATGTAGCAGGGCTATTTCTGCCATCAGCTACTGACCAATACAACCAGCGGTGCAGTACTCCTAGATTCAGCACAATGACTGGGATGATTTAAACTGTTTACTGCTAGTGATGGATTTTTTTTTTTATTTGATCAGAAAAATCTTAAAAGCTTTAGATGACACAAACTTTTTCAATTACTAGGTAGCACGAATTATATCTTTCTTAAGACAGTTTGCTCCTTCTTTAAAAAAACAATTTCTCTGTGGGGTGGGCCATCTTAGAAGAAATGTTTACCCTACATACTAGTGTTTAGATGAAATTTCCTAATCTGAAGCAAACCACATTCCTTTACATTAAAATTCCCAAATACCACTTCCAGATAGTTCTTTTTAAACATCTGTTTCAGAGAAGTAAATTCACACTGCCAGTGTACTAAAGCTCTCTAGGAAGAATGCAGTGGAATCCAATCAAGTTGCAAAGGAAGTTAAGGCAGCACTAAGAGCTCACATTTCTCTTCTCTTTGTGATTATATGATCACTCAGCAAATGCACTATTTTGAGAGTAAAATTATTGCAAAGGAAAATTCATGCTGCTAAAATGAAACAATCAGTTTTTAAGATATTTTCAGCTTCCGACTTCCATTTTCTTGTGAAAGAATGTTAAGAAGGTTCAGCACATGATTGTGAGACATTATCAAATTATTTTTATCCTACTGGGGAAAGTAAGTCCCTTTGAAAGTCTGGTACCACAATGGGTGCTGAATACTTTTCAAAATGTGCTACAAAGAGGGGAATATCTTACTGCTAAGAATGAATCATATCATTAAAAAGCGAATAAGAAAACAAATAGAAATATTCAATTGAAAAGTGATGTTGTGGACACCAGAACCATGTGAACCAAAGGCAGCTACAGGGCCAAGCAGGCTGTTAGTCCTATGGTTATACACAGTTGTAAAGAAGGCAAGAGAAGAAAAGTTACCCCGAAAGCAAGAGAGCTAGAAAGCCCCAGTGCATGGCCACTGCACACAAAAGATAAATCTTACGGCAGAGACCTCGGCCTGGAGACCAGCCACTCTTTTTTTCAGGTCCTCCCCTTGAACCTCTTTGGCACTTAGCTCTTCCTTCAGTTGCTCTACCTGTCACGACATTGTTATGCTTTTAAATATTTATCAATAATCATCTTTTGCTTAGCCTCTTGCAACTAAAGAGTAAACTAAAGTTACTGAAGTAACTAAAAGTGACAAAGAACTGAATAGAAGAATCAACATTGGTTCCTCTTTTTCTCTTCTATTCTTCATTAAATCTTCTCAAATGTTGTATGTCTCTGTGATTTCATACAGGCTGCTGGACAAACATTTGATTATGAAACAAAAATGCATACTTATGGTTATGTTTATATATGTAAAGTATTGGGCACTTCACCCAACAGTTTTCAAACTAGAATTCATGAGGAAACTAGGACAAGTAAAGGGAGATTTTGCAATACAGGAGAAAAAAAAAGTTAATTGTCAATGTACACTCACAGTTGACTATACAATACAATATTAGAAAGAAAAAAGAAAGAAAAACACAAATTTTGTACACTTACAAAACAGAGCTGGACAACAAGATGTTCAGGCAAACAGAAGAGACCCAGAAAATATCAGAGTAGCTGATAGATATACAGCTAAGTAGATATACAAAAGCAAATGCACAGGAGGAGAAGAAATATGAGTACTACTAACAAGGGAAGAAGGAAGGAAGGAAAAAAAAGAAAGGGAAAAGAAAGAAGAAAATTGCCTCTTCATTTTCCCAATTCAGAGCTAGCTATCCTTTAGTTTCTAGAGGCAATGCAGTGGGATAAAAGAATGAAGTATAAAAGAACAGATGTGGCTATTTTTAAAGAAACACATACTTCGTACATGTTTCTATTTTAGGTCAAATAATACTTTTTCAAGAAACTTCCTCCAGCATTCTTTTTTGAGACAAGTAACTTCAAGCAGGACAAATACAATAGGTTAGAATTATTCGTGACATGGAGAAATTTTCAGCTTCTTGTTTCAGAGATTTGTGCACTGCTTTTACAAAGTATGCACAAGGTAACCAAGAAAAGCGGAACTGCTGACAACATACCTACATCTACTGTATGAGGTGGCCTAGACGTCCATTGGAAAATGTTAGGCTTCACTAACAAACACTTCTTTGAGAGAAAAAAAGAAGCACCTGATATCTGTCTGTTGTACAATTTCAGCTATACAATGACAATACAGTAAGTCTGCATTCATTTTTATGCCTGAGGACCAACATATCTCACTGCTACATTTGTCCTAAGACACAAATAACCCCAAGTGTATAAATTAATGTTGGCATGATCACTGTTGTAGAATATACTAACATTCTGACTCCACTAGCAGAAGGGGAGGGTAATGGAAAGCAATTCTACTGACAGTTGATGTTCTTCTTAGCCTTTGTGTATAAAGGATAATATATTCAAGGGGTGACAAAAAGAATCGTATTTTTTTCAGTAGGCTACATTTTAAAGGATAGCAGACAAAACCTGTAGCTATAATGGATTATCAGCATTCTACAGATGCACACAAAATACTTCTGGAATAAAAGAAAGTTACAAATGTGGCAGTAAAAGTAGAATTTGGTCCACTGACTCTACTGAACCACTATATTCAAATTTGAATTTTAAATTCTTTTTAATATTTATAAGTTATTTTAGTGGCTCCAGAGCAATATACAAACAAACTCTATCTAACAGAGCTAGAATGGGAACCAAGATCCTAAGTACTTTCCTTAACTGAGCATGAAGATTTATTTCATTTGTTCGCTTTGGCTCATTTTGTCTTCCTGCAGTTACTCTTTCTCAATACCTTATTTTTCATGAATTTGGAATGACTACGGTACACCTCCATTTGCTTCATTTCTTCTTCACGCTCCTCTGTGCTCAGAGCTCCATTTGACTTCAACATCTGAATCTCCTCTTCCAAATCTCGGAGGCCACGCTCCATGGAAGAAATTTTTGAATCCTGAAAAGGATTAAAAGAGACAGATAGTAAAACAGTTAGATGTTCTGGTAATATACCATAAGAGTAATAAATGAAATAATCTGTTGGGCATGTATCCACCCTTGAAATTTTCTCAAGTTCTTACATAAATCAATCTATACCTCTTTGCGTAGCATCTGGCTGGGCACACAAAGAGGCAATTGTTTTTATACCTTTCAAGGAAAGCAAGACTTTAGTACTGGAAGGAAACATGGCTAGGGGCAGGGACACAGCGTACAAAGAATATATAAAGGACTATGAGAAAAGGTTGCCTTGTAATGCTAAGTCCAGCATAAAACAGAGAAATTTAATTCTAACTGAATGAGCAGCAAAACATGACTGCAAGTATGACAGGAAAAAAACAGTTTGTGCTGTTAGTAATTTGAGTGAGGTCATAAATGGAGAACAAAACATCTTAAGCAAGGAAGAGATGAAACAATCTAATTTTGAGTGATGAAATAGCAGAGATTCTTGAAGCGTTTTGGATAATACACACAAAATATAAAACATTTCCATTGCTAAAATACATACATCTGGAACAATGAGAAAGTTTACCTACCATTATCCTCACGGCTTTAAAGAATGAACAGAGATTTTCAATCTATTTTCTTTACCATTTCTTTTGAAGTGTTATTTGTTAGAACAGCAGAAATAGATTAATTCAGGACACAGAGCTCCACACATACTTTTTACATGCATGTGCATTTACGAAATGCTATCTTTAGGGCAGTCTTTTTTTCCTTCCTTTTTTCTTTCTTTTTTTTAACTCTGTTCTTCCAAAATATTTCGTTTTTCTTGAAATATGGATTGAATTTGAAGCAATCCTCCATTTTTTTCATAGACCATCCCTCAATCATATTATTTGATAATCAAAATACAGCTGAATAAAAGCATGAAAGACCTTCATAGGTAAGTTTTTATCCATGAGTTAACATTGTTCCAATGGACCATTATAAAGATGTAGTTTGATGCTTAATTTTTGATGCTTAAGTTAAAATCAGTAAGGCAGACTTTTGCAACAAAAAAAACCAAAAACTACAGTAAGGTAAAGTGCTATGTTGTAATTTACAAGAGTATTCAATTTCAGCCCTCACATCATTTCCAAGAAATACTTATATTTCCTTTTAGATCATAAGACTGCTTATTGTTACCAGACGGTCAATTAGTTTTCATTGCTATGGAACATAAAGAAAAATAATAAAAGAAAGACAGTAGAAGAAAGGCTCCAGAGTAAAAAGACCAGAAATGACTACAGAAAATACTGAGATGGAATGGAATGGAATGAGTTGGAAGGGAAAAAAGGGAAAAGTTGGAAAGCAAAAGAAAAAGGTACAGATACAGAAGGTGGGAGAAAAGGAGGGCATGATAATGGAATAAAACAGTTTGCAAAGACAGTTTCCAGTTTTCAATTGTATTTGCCCAGACCTTGCTTGTTTGATGTACTTTATGGACGATCCAGTAAGAAATATGATTACATAGTCCACCTGTAGTTGAGCTCTTGGCAAATTGCCATTGCTCCATTAGATATGTGAGTTAATGGCTGAAGAATTCAATCACAAATTCACTCAGAAAAGTTAGGTTTAAGATAGTATACAGGCACCTCTCCAATTATACAACCTGCTCTTTAAGTGGATTTTGCAGTTGGAGATTGCTAACATCACTGATAGACAAAAAGCAAAAAAAAAAAAAATGGCATTTCAAAGGTTGATACTTTAAAAAGAAAGCAACCCACATCATCATAAAGACCTGACAATCCATCATCTCATTCTTGTAATACAATGGACTCTCTGGTAACTGAAAGGAATCTGGATATGTTGCCATAAGCAGACAACAAACAGGTTTCTATTGTGTCATGAAGTAGTTTTGTGTTTTCACTGGTCTTTATAAGATGCACAATAATACTGAGAAATTATATATGTATTTATATATATGTTTTTTTAAATTAGGAGATTGACAGAAGTATATGGCATTTGAAGCAGTCTATTTTGCTATGAAAACTCATTTTACAAAGAATATTCTCTCCTGCTGGCTATATGCAACTGTTTACCTTCATCTCAATAACAGTTTGCAGAGCCTTTGTCTTGGCTGAGTCAGGAGCATTTTCAAACCGTCGATGTATCTCCTATGTGAGGAGAAAACAAAGCAAAAGTTAGCCTAAAGGCATTTTGTCCCATTTATCAAATACAAACAAAATTACTACAACCTACTCTTTCTGATATATGGCATAATTTAGCTGCTTTCTGAAGTTACGAGTTCATGTGTTTTATGATCTCTTACATGAAAAAAAAAAAAAGAGTATACAAAAGCTCATTGAACAGAACCATCATCACAGTGGAAAAGAAACGAGAAACTGCATATCTGACCATCTACTTCCTCCAAATAAACTGTTGATAAGGTAGTTGAATATACTAAAATAAATCTGTCATTTGCCTGGTAATCTAAACTGTTAGTATTAATTTAACTTCTGTTAGATTAATCTAAACTGTTAGTATATTCTCACGGAAGGCATATATGTCCATTACTTAACTAGATGTGTACTGAAAACAATAATGCTGTGGTTTCAACAAGCTTTAGAGTGCAGCTGATAACTTTTTAAAACTTTTTACCGCATAGCAGCAACATTTAATGGCATGTGATGAAAATCCTTCTCCGCTGGAGCTAGAGCGTAGCTCAAAGCACAGAAATGAATATCACCTTGTTCTAGAAGATCGGAGCGTGCAAACAGGAGGTTAGAAATGTCCATGTGATATTTCCATTTATGTGAATTTACAGACCTAGCATGTTTCAAAGGGCTCTCAATGGAATAAAATGGAAAATGCTAGAACACTAAAACAGCTTGTTCTCTCATATAAAGTAGGTACATATTTCAAACCAAACAAGTGCAAATACAGAGAGAAACAGTAACTACTACTTTATTATTTTTGTCAAAATATTATCCTTACATCAACACTAATATTCAATGTAGGCACACGAATACATTTAGAATGTATTATATGACTTAAGAGTACCTTGGTGCCTATAGCATAACTAATATCAGTTAATGTAACCATCTGTTTACATGCACATAGGTTAACCACACACTCCCATAAGACCCCTGCAAGACAAATCCAAAAAGCCATCCACAAAGTTGTGTTTTCAACAGAGATGGGAAAGGAAGAGATAACATCTTTATGGTAGTCATATGGTAGTCAATTATCTGAACAAGAAAGGTATAGAGTAGCATAGAAATTTCAAAATACTGAAAATATTACTTAACTACATTAAAAATAAATATTCTTACACAGCTGCTGAAACGAGCCAGGCAGAAATGTGCAGCTATGTGACAAGAGCCACAGGAAGAATTTTCCATCAGTTTGGCACAAGGAGACTTTCTGAAGTTTAAGCTTGTGAATGGTAATAACAACAAAATCCAGCAGCAATTTTGTCTTTAAATACTGTATTTATGGATTTACTGAGAAAGTGTTTTTAGAAGTATGCTTGCAATTTAGAGAGATATTCCCTGATAAAAGGATCTTGGACAAACAAACCAGAAACAACCCTTTAGATAGATACACAGATAGATAGATAGATAGATATAGATATATATTTCTCTCAGTTGGTCTCTAACAGTCTTTCACAGCTGCCTTCTGGTAGAGGGTCAGAGGCATGCTTCTTCTTGCCTGCAAACAGATACTGCTTCTATCTCTTCAGCAGGTTGTAAACCAAGTGAGGAGGTCATTTCTCTACATTAAAGATGCTGATGTTAAATCTTGGGGAGGGCTTGGGGGAACACACACTGAGAACACTTCACTGAGATGCTTTTTCCAGGGAGTTGATAACACGGCCTTCAAAATCTTGCAGAGATCATCTCCTTAACAACGTTGTAAGACTTCTAAAAGCAATCAGCAGCCTTTCAAAGAACTGAACCATTATTACCCTGTTTCTTATGCCCACTCTCACTAAGAATAAGAAGCTGTCAAGACACAGTATTTCATTGTTACAAAGCTGGAGTAACATCCTCATGTCACCATGTCCGGCCTCAGCATTTCATTGAAACACATCAATGAAAGTACTTTTCCAGTCTCTCCACTACTCGCTATTCAACTACGTAATGAGATTCATTTCATACACTACTATGTGGTGCTAAAAAAGAAGCTCCTTATGAGCTTGAATTTGCTTTACAAACATTTCAACAGGAAGTCCACCTTACAAGTTCCCCACGTGAAACTCAGAGCTATATCTCATCGCTTTCAATCAAAAACCATTGTACCATATACTGTCTTTATAAGAAGAAGCTACAATAAGCCTCTAGCACTCAAAAGAAGAATTTAGAAACACAATGAGAAGCAGATCCAATATCCACCCATTTATTCACTACTCTCACTAGCTGCCATCACAAAAAAAACTCTTCAGTGATCTTGGTCATCCTCCACAGAGAATGAACTGAACTAACTGCATTTCCTAAGGTAACTATGGCATATTGATCCATTGCCAGCAAATTCCATAAACTCTCCTTTCCTTATTGAGCAGATTCAAGGATTGCAGCACAATCCTATGATTGGCTATCAGTCCTTCTCTTGATCTGTGAATATAGATACTGTTGTATTGTTGTGTAATATATTGTTGCAGACACTGTTTCACTGAATATCTTAGCATGCAGCTTCAACATCAGCTAAATTGGAGCCTTCAAAAACTTTCAAAGGGTGTTCATGAACAATTCAAGTGATAGGAGTGGCCTTCTCCTAAAAAAATGCCCATATCCAGAATTTACAGAGTGGATACTTGCAACTACATTCATGCATTCACCAAACAGTGTACTGTTGGAGAAATATTCAGATACTTTACTGCTCTGCAGTGGCAGTCCTGTAGTTTCTGATGAACTTTCAAATTCACTATGTCTTTGGTTGAAGTGAGCAGCAACACTTGAACAAGAAAGAAAATGACCAGATGACTTCTAGTCTTTCTTCAGAAGAGACTCACATACTGCCCATATCCTCCAGTCCCTCCTTCGAGTTCTCAAAGCCTCTCCCTTTGATTCTCAGATTGAAAGGAACAGACAAGATAAGGAACGGGGTGACCCTTTTGTAAAGGCACATGTGGCACATTAAGTGAGGTGGTATTTGAGAACACTCTGTAACACGCAGCCTATGTGCTATAATACCAAGTTCTTCTGTAATCATTGCTCGGCAATGACAGCACAAATAGAGGAAATACATATAAACAACACATCTCAAAGGGTGCAGCTTGGCTCCTTTGATAGGACTATCCACAGTTGAAGACATCCCAGTCACATGTTGTGGACACTTTCAAACTTCATGTTCACATTAAGAAATAAATTAAAAAAAAAAAAAAAGGAAAAAGAAAATAACATGTAGAGGAAGAAAAAAAGGTTTCAGGATTAAAAAGTTACTTTTACTCAGGTTTTCCAACTTAAAAATACATGCATGGGCAAAATAGAATAATTCTGAAGATAATTCCTCACCCTTTTGAGCTTTAAAAAAAAAAGTATCCCATTCTGTTGCATGAACTTTCACTAGATTCAGAAAGTTATGTCTCCTTGTAACATCAGTTGAACAACCATCTAAATACTATTATTGTAGAAGAAAATGAAAAAGGATGATCATAGAAAAGATGTACAAACAATTCCTCTGGACTTCTAGAAAATGAGAAATTTAAAAAAAAAAAGTATAAATATACATACACACACACACACACCCAAATATCTGTTTCAAACAATCTACCTTTCAGCAGTGCATTTAAGTTCTAAATGGTTTCGAGTTATGCAGTTACCTAAGAATAAACAAGGAACTACTGCGATGGAAACGCAATAGGTGGAAGACCCAGCACCTGATCAGCTTCTAAAGGCACGTTTCTAAAGGCATGTATCTAAAGCCATGCTGACACAAGGCTGTCTCCTCTTCACATTGCATGGTGTTTTCACAAATAAAAAATTCTTCTTTCAAGCTTTTTCTTCAGAGAAGTCTGTATCTCCACTGTCTGAAGTAATCCTTTGCACTTCAACAAAGGAAATGTCCTACTTCTATCATCTTTAATAACTCCACTGTGATTTGGGTTAATTATAACAAAAACAACACCTGCCACCTCTCAACTGCACAATAAGGACTTGATTTTGGAAGCATGTCTATGATTCTGAAAGGTCTCAAAACAGGGCTGCAGTCACACCGAAACTCCCCAGAACACAAATTTAAGCGTGGCTGATGGAGAAACATTGTGCAGAAGCATCCTTCTTAATTGTGAAATGTAGATTTTGCACTTGTCTGTGTGATAGAACACAGCAATATTAATAAATCACTGACACATTCAGGTTCTACTGTGGACACATACCAAGTAAATGGCTGACAATTAGTACTTTAATTTTCATAACAGGACTCTGCATAGTAATCCAAGCACAGGGCAACACCCGGATATCGTGATCAGAAAAATACAATCCTTCCAACCAATCCTTCACTCCTTACGAGTTATCTGTTCTGATAAGTAATTAAACAGTCCTTCTTCTGCCTTCAAATCAAGCTTATGCTATAAGAAGTGATATATCATTTGTTGATTTTTCTATATTTTTAATATTTTACATGCCCAAGGATTTCTTTATTAAAAAACAAAACAAAACAACAACATAACAAAAAGGAAATAAAAAGTAAGCTACTTGTTCCCACATCACCTGCCATATGCATGCTTCTCACTGTTACTTATCATTACGGTTAAAAATATACCTTTTCAGCTACCCACTGGGAACATCTAGCTACCAGTCATTATGACTATTTTGCCAAGAAAATTGAAGAATGCTACATTTTCAAATTTGTTCCAAGTTTTGTGTTTAATATCACATTATTACGAGATAATGGAGTAGATTATTTTACATAAACAAAGAAAGATTTATATGGAGTGATGCTTTATTAGCCTCTTGGCGCTGGTGCTACCTCTACAGGTGTGTGTCAAGTTTGTGTGTCTACATCTTAAGGATGTTGTTATAATAAAGAAAGTTCAAAGAATGATTGCAGGCACATCATCTGTCTTTAGAAAAAAATAAAAACAAAACTAATTATGGTGCAACTTGATCACAAACTTTAAAATGCTTACAGAGGCAACAAAAATTCAAAATGGATAATTCTGGACAAACTATGA